GGGTTTATCCCAGGCATGTGCACGGTTGTGAGCTCCAGGGTCCCTCTCAGGGAGACACTGGGTGGGAAGGGATCTCTGTGATCCCAATCCCACGCACGGTGCAGTGGGACCGGGGGCAGAGCCGCCCCGGCTCTTCCCTGAAAAGCTGCTCAGTTTTTGAACTCTTTGCTTTTTTCTTTCTTTCCTTTTTTTCACTGCAAACACTTGAAAGGCCCCGTTCTTCCCTCTGCTGTTCCCAGCAGCTCCCCCTCGCTCTGCCCCCCTGGCCTCGTCTCACCGTGGTCCCCGAGCAGAGCTGGGGGGGGAGGGTTGGTGACACCCCAAGTTTGGCTTTGCATTTTTCTTTGTGCAACTTGGCAAAAAGTGGGTTGGGGGAGGAGAACTGACCTGGTGTTTGGAGGATCAAGCGCAGGTTTTGCTTTGAGGGGCCCACGAGTACCCTTGGGGTGATACCACAGTGGGGTACCAGCCCTGCAATAGGGTGCCAGCCCAGAAATGGTGTGCTGGCCCCAAAATAGGGCACCAGCTCTGAAACAGGGTGCCAGTGGGGCAATGGGGGGAGGAGGCCGGGGCTCCTCAGGCGGCGTTTTCGGCACCACTTTGGTGGGAATCCTCTCTGAGGTGTCTCGTGCCCAGGCCCCGACAGGCTGGCTCTTGCATTTAAGCAAATTTGGTTTTCTACTGTGTGCCAGAGCCTCCCCATAGCCCGCGGGATCGGGCTCCGGATCCAGCTCCGGATCCGCAAACAGGCTGAAATAACAGCTCCGGGGGTCCCCATTTATCTCCTCGTACATCCCATCTCATCCCGCTCCGTCGCCCTGTCCTGTAATATCTCAGCATTTCCCTAAAGCAAAAGATGACAATAAAGTGTAAATGGGGAGTGTTGGCTCGGGAGTGTAATGATGGCAATTTAGATGCCAGCCGTCATTTCCCCGCCGTTGCCCCAGGTAACAGGAGCCGCCGAATCCGGTGGGAGCGCGGCCGAGGCGGGACGAGGTTACCTCGGAGGCTGATGGCTGTCCTGGGATTTTCTGTCATTTACCTTGAAAGAAGGGAAAGGGAAATAGCTGTAAATGAAGGTGTTTGCCTTGGGAGTGCCAGGCTGAGCCGGGCCGGGGGTGCTGCTCCCCCATCCCAGCTGGGCCAGCACTGCTCTGTGACCAGCGCCGGGGCTGGCAGGGCTGGGGAGGCACCCGCTGGTTCTGCATGGAATTTGCATCCATTACCCACAGTGCCCACCCCAGTCCCCATCCCCATCCTCATCCCCATTCCTATCCCTGTCCCCATGTCCCCATCCCTGTCCCTGTTCCCATCCCTTTCCCCATCCCCAATCCTGTCCCTGGGAGAAAGAGAAAGAGGAAAAGGAAAAGGGAAAGGGAAGAGAGGGAAAGGGAAAGAGCAAACCATAATGAGCATGCCTAAAGCACCCCGTGCCCATCTCCTGTGCCCCCTGCCCCGTGCCCGTCCCATCTCCCGCCCCCCGCGCTCCCTCTCACTCCTTCTTTATTTTTTTAATCAGCGGCGTCGCTTCCCTGGCGCCGAAGCGTTTCCCAGCCCCGCAACTCGGGAAACCTCATTAACACAGATCAAAAGGAGCTTTTAATGATTTATAAAGGTGCAGTAGTTTGGAGAAATTAAATAATTTAGGTGCTGTGTGTACGGCGGGTCCCCCCGGACCGCATTACCAGCGCTCCGTGAGCCGCGGCACCGGGGACAGCGCCGGAGCCTCTGGGGACCAGGACTCGGCACTACCCACGCCCTGGGGTATGGGGATGATGGAAATGGGGTGTCCCCTGAATGTCATCTCATCCCTGCCAGCGCTGGGGCTCAGCCCGGAGGGGGTTTGGGATGCACTGGCTGCTGGGGATGCTGCTGAGGTGGCTGCGCTCGCTCCCTGCCACGGCAAATGTTTGCCAGCGTGGTTAAAATAAACCTTGGCACTGGTGGGATGGGGCAGTGGGGATGGGTGTCCAGGTGGATCCAGCTCTGGCTCCATCCCCTCCCGGCCCACTCAAGTGGCTTTTGCCTCTTGAGCAGGGAATAGGGATCTGCCTCCGGGACGCTGGGACCGACAGCGTGGCCCAAATTCTCCCCGACAGCCTCGTCTGGCTCCCGCCCGGCGCTGCCGTTTTTGCATCCCCTGGGATGACACTCGGCTTCACTCGGCTCGGCAGCGATTCCGGCTGCCCGAGGAGAAGGAGAAACAGATGGAAAACCGGCTTAAACGTTCCCGGCGGGAAGTCCATTGCCAGCCACGGACTTGCCAGGGCCCAGCCGAGCCACAGGATTAATGGAGGAAAGAGCCCCTGGCAGGGGTCGGTGGGCGCCCGCGCCCCAGGGGCCCTTCCCCACCACCCCCCCGGCCCCGGGAGCCGCTTTGTGCCCCTTTCCCTTGGGGGGGGACCCCAGAGGGGCTGGGAGGGGTCGGGGGTGGCATTGGCCGCTCTGCAGCTGAATTCCCATCAGGTTGTGTTTAATAGCAGGGGAGAGGCCGGCAGGGCCGGGGGGGGTGCTGGTTTGGGGGGGCAGGGGGGGAGCTGCTGTGTTTTATTTTGCTCTGTAATAGGCTTATTACTCCTGATCACGCTGTGACTATTTGAATGAAGGAGATTTCGGGAGATGAAAGCGGAAGGGAGGTTTTAAGTCTCTCAGTGCCTGGCCCCGCAAGGACGGGTGCCCTTGGAGAGGGGGGGGACCCCATACCCGGGACCCCCTGCTCCAATTCCCCCCTCGCCTCGCTGCCCCCATGAGCCCTGTCCAGCCCCCAGTGGTTACAAACCTCCTAATTTCCAGCCTCAATTTATTCATGGCCGGTTTATACCCATTTGTTTATGTGCCAACACCGTTCCTCAGCTTAAATAGCTCTTTTCCATCCATAATATCCCCCCCCCGTATTCCAGCGGGCGCAATCATATCTCTTTTCAAGCTGTTCAGGAAAGAAAAATCTGAATTATTTAACCCTTGGGACACTGGCTGGTCTAGCAGGGTGTAGAGAGACAAATCCGCTTTGTTCCCGCGCTGGGTCACCGCCTGAATTTGGGAATTTTTGGGGGATGCTGCTGCTGCTCAGAGGGGAAACTGAGGCACTGGGTGCAGTCGAGGGGACCAGGAGCAGGGTTTGGGCACAGGGGTTGCTCTCCTGGTTGGCTCTGACCCCAGCAGGGGCTGGGGGTCTTGGGCTGTGGCTGCCTGTCGGGAAGGCTTTTCCCCTCCATGGTGAATATCCAAGAGGTAAAAACTTGGGAAGCCAGTGTGCATCCAGCATGGAGATGCCACCCTGCCCGTCTGGGGGACCGTGGCACTGGGTCCAGTGATGACATCGGATCCAGTGGTGGCATCAGCCCCATCCCTTGGCATCATCCCCAGTGATGGGATCGTCCTCTTCCCATGGCATCGTCCCCCTCCCGTGGCATCAGCCTGGGCTGCTCTGGGGGGAGCCCAGGACCCCCTGCAGAGTGGGGTGCACCGTGCTGGGGGTCCCCACAGCTCCCTGCCCCCCCCCAACGGAGGGTGACCCCCTCCCCCCAGCCCCCCCCCCCACGTCTGTCTCCATCTGGGCCATTTATCAGCTTTAATCAGCTTTAATTCAGCAATTTGTCAGGCAGGCGAAGGCCCTCACAGTGAGTTTTTCCAAAAAATATAATAATTATTATTATTATTCCCCTGATACGTGGGCCCCCCCCGCCTCGTCTTTGCTTGGGCTTTAGTAACGATCATTAAAATAAATAATTTTTTTAAATAAAAGGCAGCAAGAAGAGGGGTTTTTTTGTGGGCTTTTTTTTCCTCGATATTTTTTATTGTTCTCCGCGCGTTTGAAAATTGTTTCCCAGTAAATTCCAGCCCTTTGTATTAATTTTACATTTTCCAATGTTACCTTGCCAGGGGCAGGGTTGGCACAACTGGCTCGGGAAAGGAGAGGGAAGGAGAGGGAGAAACCCTGCTCCTTAATTAGCGCGTTCCCTGTGTGATCAGAGAGCTTATGAGGCAGGTAATGAGCTGGAGGGGGGCTGCAGGAGCCCCCTCCCTGCACCACCTCCTGTGTTCCCCCCCTTCCCTTTTTGGGGTGCCTTTGGGATCACCCTCCATCCCGCTGGCCCCAGGGATGTGGGATCACATTTGGGGTGTCCCTGTGATGAGTTTGATCCAGTCTCAGCCCCACAGGCTCGGGGGCTGTCAGGGAGCCCCAAGATGCTGCTTTGGGGGGGGGCCAGGGAGGTTGTGGTCACCACCCCCGTCCCACTAGGGCCGTGCTGACCCCTCTGGCCACTGGCCAAGCCCTGGAGCCGTGGAGTGACCCCCATCTCTGGTCATCCCAAAGTTGGGGGCTGAGGGGGGGGCCGTGCTGTGGAGTCTCAAATTAATTAGCAAAGAAAACTCACTCAGTGAGAGGGGGGGGAAAAAAGCCAAGCTGCCAAAGTGGCTCCTGGGGCCGCCTGTGAATTTGGCCTCGAGCTTTCCCGGCTGTGGTGCCGGGAGCTCCGGGGTCTGGAGTCTGGGGAGGGGGGGACACGGGGGTCGCCCCGAGGAGCTGGAGCAGGGGTTGCTGGCATGTGCCACGGAGTTCTCCAGGGCTGCTAATCCCTTAATCTCTTGGATAAGCAGTGCCAAGAACGCAAATGACACCGGGATTGTGGTGCTTGGCTGCGGCCGCGCCGGTGCTCCGCCGGGATCGCCGGGAATAAATCATTTTTGTGTCGTTTCCTACCGAGTGGTGCCGGTTTATCGGCATAAAACAAAGAGGCTCTGGGTTAATCTGGATGTTCATACGGATGTTGGGGTGGGATGGGCGGGATCAGGCCCTGGATCATGGTTAAACCCACTGGTGCAGCCCTGGCACAGGTTGCCCAGAGAAGCTGTGGCTGCCCCATCCCAGGGAGTGTCCAAGGCCAGGGTGGAGCAACCTGGGCTAGTGGAAGGTGTCCCTACCCATGGCAATGGTTTGGGTCCCTCCCAGCCCAAACCATTCCGGGGTCCTGGTGTGCCGGGTTCTGGTGGGTTGACCCGAGTTGTCCTGCAGGTTCCACCGCGGGGACTACACGGTGGAGGTGAGCATCAACGACTACCTGGACATCTACTGCCCGCACTACGAGGAGCCGCTGCCCGAGCGCATGGAGAGGTACATCCTGTACATGGTGAACTACGAGGGCCACGCGTCCTGCGACCACCGGCAGCGCGGCTTCAAGCGCTGGGAGTGCAACCGGCCCGACTCCCCCAACGGGCCCCTCAAGTTCTCCGAGAAGTTCCAGCTCTTCACCCCCTTCTCGCTGGGGTTCGAGTTCAGACCCGGCCACGAGTACTATTACATCTGTGAGTGGGGAGGGGATGGAGGGGGGGGTCTGGGAGAGCATCCTGGCCATGTCCCGGGTCGGGCTCGGTTTGTGTTGGTGACCCGGAGTGTTGCAGAGCCCCCCATGTTTTCTGTGCTCTCACATGTAATTCCTGTGTGCTCCCATGTGTCCCCACACTCTCACTTATATTCCCGTGCTCCCACGTGTATTTCCTACGCTCTCCCGTGT